TGGAATTCTCACTCTCCTTCTCTCTGCCCCTCCCCTGCTCACACTGTCTTTGTCTCTCTCAAAATAAATAAATAAACTTAAAAAATTAAAAAAAAAATGGCAAATGTAATTTTATCCTTCAAACCCCTTGAAATATTCAGCCTCTCTTTTAGCCAAAACTTATTCTTTACTACATATTTATAATTTATACTGGTGAGATATGGCTCACTTTTTTCCCCTAGGTTGTGACACATATGATATGTTTATATCTAAGTATGAAAGACTTATGTAATAGCAAAACTTAATTAATAGAAAACAAAAACAAACTGCCGTGGACTTTTATTCTAGAACTGCCATTCTGAAGGAAAAAGCAAGAGAAACGAAATTAACAGGGAAGAAAGTAGTTAAGGTATGTAAACATCCTAGATTTTTTAGTTGAGTACGTTTGTAACCTCCTAGCTTTGCTCTCAGATAAGACTTATGAAAATATACTGCAGTTATGCAAGATTTTTAGATACAGTTAAAAGTTAATCTAAGTTTTGAAGGTCCAAGGAAGCCATGCAGAAGTCTGTTTTTTCCTGGTCCTATAAAGTATTACACTATAGCTTTCGCTGCTTTTTTAAAGTGGGAAAAAAAAGTGTTGCATAGGTTAGGAAGGATAGTCCCCTCACCTGTTCTAACTTAAGACATGGGAGGAAATTCTAAGATGACAACAAACTATATGCACATATGAAAAATAATGCTTTAAGTTTGGCTTATAATATATAACCCTATGGTCTTAAAGTTTTGGTAGCACAGTGGAATTCTATAGAGTTAACAATTCATTGTTAAAAAAATTTAGCTTTCCAACAGGTTCCCCTTTTTATATATAACAATTATCTCTATAACACAAACATTATTAATAGCTTAACATCATAGATATATTCTTCTGTAATAATTTTCCTCAAATTCCCATAGGACTTTCTCGCTAAGTTTAAAATAAAGAACTTACAGTCAAAGAATTTTCACCATCATCATGTCTCATGTGATTATGAGCTCTTCCTCTGCCATCAGAGATGCTGAGCAAATCTCTTCCAAAAGGTTCAGAAAAACTTCTCATCATCTGTCGCATACTTTCTCGGTGTGCAATAAAAGAATCGCTGTTGAAAATACATATAATCATTCAATGGGGCGCCTGGGTGGCGCAGTCGGTTAAGCGTCCGACTTCAGCCAGGTCACGATCTCGCGGTCCGTGAGTTCGAGCCCCGCGTCAGGCTCTGGGCTGATGGCTCAGAGCCTGGAGCCTGTTTCAGATTCTGTGTCTCCCTCTCTCTCTGCCCCTCCCCGGTTCATGCTCTGTCTCTCTCTGTCCCAAAAATAAATAAACGTTGAAAAAAAAAAATTAAAAAAAAAAAAGAAAATACATATTAATCATTCAAGAGTAAGTGTTGGAATTTAAATAATTAATACGTAGGCAGCTGAATACTACAAAGAATTATTTTGGTCTAATATTCTTGTTGAAGAGACAAGAGAAGAGTTTAGGCAAGTAGAATTATCTCGCTAAGACCCACTAACTCATAAATACAGAAACTGTTCCATTTGCTATCTACTATAATTCATCTATGTATAAATACACCTTTATTTATCCTTTATTGTATAAAAATGACAAACACAAACTGACACATCTTGGGTAGCTTAAGCCAGCAATAAGAAAAATGGCAAAAAAAAAAAAAAAAAAGGACTGGAAAATTTTGCTACCAGGTAGAGGTCATTCTAGGTAGCCACCAATATAACTTCTACTGAGAACTAATAAAGAATGCTGGCTTGGGGCACCTGGGTGGCTCAGTCGGTTAAACATCTGACTTCAGTTCAGGTCATGATCTCATGATTTGTGGGTTCGAGCCCGGTGATGGGCTCTGTGCTGACAGCTCAGAGCCTGGAGCCTGCGTCAGATTGTGTCTCTCGGTTTCTCTGCCCCTCACCCACTCACACTCTGTCTCCCTCTCTCCCTCTTTCTCAAAAATAAACATAAAAAAAATTATGCTGGCTTATTTTTTAACTCTTATTTATGAAATATGAGCATTGAGAACTATAGCTATGTTACAACACTGTAAATATACATTATCTTAATAGTCAAAAATAAAGCTACAGATCACCTTTATGAGGCTAACTTTTGTTTCTATGAACTCTTAAGTTCTTAGAACTTTTTTTTTTTTTTTTTTTTTTTTTTTTTTAAGTTTTAGAGAGTGAGACCATACATGAGAGGGGGAGAGGAGCAAAGGGAGAGACAGACAGAATCCCAAGCAGGCTCCACACTCAGCGTGGAGCCCGATGCAGGGCTGAATCCCACGACCCTGGATCATGACCTAAACCAAAATTAAGGGTCGGACGCTCAACTGAATAAGTCACCCAGGCGCTCCTGCTAAGAACTCTTAATATCAGAAATCACCGCATAGTAAAGTATTTTCTAGTCTTAAGATAGCTGTTCTCAAACTTTGAAATTACCAAGCAGGTAATGAGGTTTGAAATGCAGATTTCTGTCCTCCCCCCCTCCCCCACAACATTCCAATCACATTTATTACTTCTGGGTGTGATTTGTGGACATGCATCCCTGGTGATCATAACTCAAGCAGTCCTTTCACCAACCTTTGAGAAATAGTATCCTTTCTGTGTACACAGTACCCAAATTAATTAGAACCCAAGCCTGCTTTCTGAACCTGTTTCCATAGCTGTAAAATGAGGATAATATTGCACATCCCTGTTGCTGAGATTAAAGCATGTAATCTGAAGGCACAAAGTACAGTATCTAGTCCATATAATATGTTAAATGTTAATCTCTCTTACCTTCTCCTCTTATTAGCCCATGTATGAATGCTACTTCCTATAATTCTATTATTAATATTAAATACCTCTCATTGAGAAAAGATATGTATTTTATTTAAAAATACATATAGCAATAACCATGTTCCAGGCTGTTTTCTATTTGTATAAATATCAGTGTTCTTAATCTGATGTTATCCCAATCACCCCAAGTCCCATTCAAGAATGTAAAATTTTAGGGGTACCTGGGAGGCTCAGTCGGTTAAGTGTCTGACTTCGGCTCACAGTTTGTGATCTCACAGTTTGTGAGTTCGAGCCCTGTGTCGGGCTCTGGGCTGACAGCTTGGAGCCTGGAGCCTGCTTTGGATTCTGTGTCTCCCTCTCTCTCTGCTCCTCCCCTGCTCATGCTCTCTCTCTCTCTCTCTCCCAAAAATAAACATTAAGGGGCACCTGGGTGGCTCAGTCGGTTAAGCGTCCGACTTCGGCTCAGGTCATGATCTCACAGTCCGTGGGTTCGAGCCCCGCGTCGGGCTCTGTGCTGACCACTCAGAGCCTGGAGCCTGTTTCAGATTCTGTGTCTCCCTCTCTCTCTGCCCCTCCCCCACTTGCACTCTGTCTCTTTCTGTCTCAAAAATAAATAAACATTTAAAAAAAACATTTTTAAAAAGAATGTAAAATTTTATTGCCTTATTATAGTGGTTTAACTTCATTTCAGTTTGAAAAGCACTGACCCACTGGTCACTTCCTTACTGCTCACTCTAGAAGTTAAGGCACATCACCACTGGAGTGCACTTTACCAAGGCAATCTTACTCTTCCCTGTAGTCTATTGGAGCCCCCTAATAGTTTGTCCCCCTTTCAGACTTCCCCACCTTAGTTTCATCCTCCTGGGGTTACCCTTCCCACTTCTCATTCTAAACTCCAACCTTCTAATGTCATCATGAGGAAGCTCAAAAATTCTGTCTTCCTTCAGTAGTCTCAGGCAGAAAGAGCTTTCCTTTGAATTGTGCAGTATTTGTATACATAACCCTATCTCAAAGGAGCTCAGATTGAGTCATATTGTCACCTTGGAGGTTAAAAAAATAATAATAAAAACTTCAAATGCAAATGTTTAGTAAACCACTCAACTGGATTATGCTTATGTTATAAAAGAGGTTTTCATTTTAATTCAGCTTTGTTTAGGTTTAATTTAAATATGAAATTTATCCATTTTAGTCATACTGTTTGATGAATTTTGAAAAATGCATTATAGTAACAACCACCACCACAAAGGTGTAGAACATTTCTACCCCCAATGTTCCATCCTGCTTCTTTGCAGATAATTAGCTCCCTCTAACCCTAGTTACCACTGACAAACTTAAAAAAAAAAAAGAAAAGATAAAGAAAGCCTATTTATTTATTTTGAAAGAGAGCAAGTGGAGTAGAGACAGAGAGAGAGAGACAGGAGAGAATCCCAAGCAGGTTCCTCATGGCCAGCGCAGAGCCCGATGTGGGGCTCGAACTCACAGACTGTGCTATCATGACCTGAGCTGAAATCAAGAGTTGGATGCTTAACCTACTGAGTCACCCAAGCGCCCCACCACTGACAGGCTTTCTGTCACTATAGTTTCACCTTTTCCAGAATTTCATATAATGGAATCATACATTATGTTGTCTTTTGTGCCTAGCTTCTTTTACTTAGCATAATGCTTCTGTGATTCATCCACGTTGTTCCATTTATTCAGTTTTATTGCTAGGTACATTGTATGTATATGATTAGGTCACAATGTAATAATAAACAGTTTCTAGTTTTTTGCTATTATAAATAAAGCTTCTATGAACATTCATGTACTGTTTTTTATGTATATATGGTTTCATTTCTCTTGTGTAAAATAACTAGCAATAGGATTTCAGAGTTGTGCGGTGACTGTTTAATTTTATAAAAAACGTGAACTTAGAGTTCTAGTTGTGCTACATTCTTGCTTGATAATTGGTATTATCAGTCTTTTTGATTTTATTCATTTGAATGGTGGTGTAATAGTATCTCATTGGGGTTTTATTTTGTGTGTCATTCATATATCTTATTTGATAAAATGTGTTCAAATTTTTTCCCTATTTAAAAAAACCAGATTGTTTGTCTTATTGTTATAGACTTGTAACAGTTCTTTATATATTGTAGACATAAGACTTTTATCAGATGTTTGTCTTGTAAGTATTGCTTCCCAGTCTTGGACTTGCCTTTTCATTCTCTTAACATCAACTTATTCAGCCACATGGATCTTTGTTAGGTCTTCAGTTTCGCCAGACCTTTGCGTAGTAGTTTTATTTCTGACTTAGTTTTCTATCTGTGTCATCATCTTTGCATAACTAATTTCCATTCTCAAAACATTTTATATATTTCTATAAGCTGCTTTCAATTATTTTTAGAAGATGAGGCATAAGTACAATTTTTAAAATGAAGGGAAGAATTGAAACAGGCAGTTAGATAGAAGTAGACAATCTGAGGGAAGTATAGTTAAGAAAAGTAAACTGTGTTGATTATTTTAATGTACCTTCTGAATTTCCCGTCTAAAAGTTAAAAGGCTTATTTGTATTTTATATCTTCTAATATGAGAAATTTATTTTAGGTTTTCTTTCAAAAATTTTTGACATTATTGAACTTAATTTCAGTTAGGAATATTATAAACTTGATTATCTAGTCTCTGGTACACTAATGAACTCACTAATTTATATGTGTGGTAGGCAGCTTCTAAGATGGCCCCCAATGATCCCCTTCCTTTAAGTATGGGCTGGATTTACTGACTTGCCCCTAATAGAATGTGGATTCTGCTTGGGCACTGTATTAGCATGATGACTCATTCTGGGGCAAGCAGCTGCTATGCTGTGAGACAGCCCTGTGGACAGGCCTACCTGCATGAGCTTAGAAGCAGATTTTTAAGACGTCAACAACCACGTTTAAGAACTCGGAAGTAAATTCTCTATCGGTCAAGCCTTGAAATGATGGCAGCCTTGACTCACAACTTGATGCAGCCTCCTAAGAAGCCCTGAGTCAGAACCACCCAGCCCAGAATAGCCCAGAAAGCTGTTTCTGGATTTCTAACCAACAGAAATGATATAATAAATGTTTGTTGTTTTAAGCTACTAAATTATAGTAGCAATAAATAATACCTATTACATCCCAAAGCACAGCATATAACACATCTAAAACTATCCTCATTCTAATTCTTCAATTTTGTTGGTTTTATCTAAAGACTAGGAGCAAAATGAATGCAAATCTATAAAAATAGTTTGTCTGTAGGTCTGTTTGGTATCATGAAAAAATTTTTTTTGATTTTCACCAAATTTTGAGACTATGTTTG